GTCAATTAAAAACTGAAAAAAAAAATTAAACAAAAAAAATTGATAGTACAGCATTCTTAGGCTAGTTTTAGGTTCTTTTAGAATTTGGCACTATGCAAATAAGATAGTTGTGCAAAGCTGTTATGCAGATAGAAGTGAAATTAATTTGATCAAATAGTTTGAATACTCTTAATTTATAAATTACAAGCTTTTATAAATAAAGTAGATTATCCTAAATTTAATTAATTAATTATCTTTGTATTAAAACTTTACTCTTGAATTGATTACTGAAGATAGTAAGATACATATTTAGCTAATCAATTTGCATATATTTGATAGTGCATTTTCAGAGAAATTAGTAAACAAGAGAACAAATAAATATTCGTAAAGATCTGAATTTTATAATCTTTAAACCAAAACTTTAATTCATAGTTGATAGACAAAATAAAGTATTTTTGAACAAAAATGTTTCTCAATAGTATACAATTCTCATTGGCAGTATATTAATTATTTGACTAATTTGACTAATTTGACCAATTTGACTATAGTCAAGTTGATCAAATTGGTCAACTTGGTTAAGCGATTAGTTATATAGACCAATTTGACCAATTTGACTATAGTCAAATTGGTCTATGTAACTGACTACTTGACTAATTAACCAAACTGACCAGACCAATAATTATTCGACCAATGACTAGCAAATTTTTAGTTGACCACAGATCTTAACAATATTACTTACAATATATTAGACATATAGAAGCTTATCAATAGAAAAAGTCTAAATCTGTTTTAGTAAAAATTTTTTTATTTTTAAATTAAAATATCTCAATAATAATCTTATCAAATTTAATAAAAATTTTTTTATTTTAAATCTATAACTTATTAAAATTAAAATAAAAAAATTTTTATAAGATTTGCTTTAATAGTTATTAAAATATTTTATTCTAAACTTAAGAAAATATTTACTTAAAAAATTTTTAGACCTTTTTTATTAACAAGCTTCTATATATATTCTAAGAAAATCTAAGTTATATAATATATTAGTACTACAAAATTAGCTAGCTTAAGTAGTTAGATATAATAATACTATTAGTTTAATATAAAAATAGATTAATAATTAGAATATTTAAATTAGATAATCTATAAACAGATTACAGATATAGTAATTATTATAGAACAAACAAATAGTCTAATATTTGAATATAAACTATTTAAATAAATAATAACTAAAGTTATATATATGACTAGTTGTATATAATACTTATTATGTAATTACAAACCTTAGAAATTACCTATATGTAATTCCATATACTTAAATTATTAAAATTCAACTAATCAAGGAAGCAACTTTAACAATAAAAAATATATATATATATATATAATAACTTATAAAAACTTATATTTTAAATAATTAAAATATTTATTTTATTTAATTATAATATATATATAAACAAATCTTTACAAATACTTTCTACTATTTCAAAAGTTAATTTTAAAATATATTTTAATAAATAATATATGATTTATACTATTAGTATTTGTAGTTTTTTATAAACCACTATTGCTTTTTTTTTTAACCTTGTATTTTATTTTTTTATTTCTATTTCTTGCTTATTTAATTGTAGCAAATATGTTTGATAATGTTTATAAGAAGTCAACATGCTAATTAAAACCAAGCATCTTTACAAACTAAAGAAGTTGAATATTAAGTAATGTTATTAATAAGTAAATATAATTGCTGAAAAAAGACTTACGCTTGCTCAATTCAGTAAGGATTTGGCCATAATACGTGTAATTGTGGTTACGGATGTTGTGACGGTGGTCGTGGTGGTGATTGTGATTGCGTTGGTGGATGTGGATGTTGTGATAGTGGTTGTGGTGGTCGAAGTTGTGTTAGTGTTGGTGTTGGTGGTAACATTTTCTGTTACGGGCATATTATAGGATGGGGTAGATTAGAGAATTGCGTTGAAAGTATTCGTTTATATACTGGCTTATTTATGACATAATTATGACATAATTATGACCAGGGTATCGAAAAATTAATTGTATCTCCAATACAATCAATAAAATTGTGTATGACGAAATAATTGTAATTATGTGCTTTGCAAAAAGATGTGACTTCTGCAGTCATATTGTGAACCAAGTATCGCCCTAAAAATCAATTACGTTTTAAACTCAATAATATAATTCCTACAGTGATATTTTTAACAGTAAATTTAGCAGCAGTGCTTTATTATATGCTAAGTTGTATATAATTTCTCATTTTCTTTATTAAAAATACATTTCAAATACCACTTTTTTAGCAGCAACTCGTATTGAAGTTTCGAAATATTAGAGCTTTTATAAGAAAGCGTTGTTTAGTATGATATCAAAGAAATTGCAATCGATATAGCCACTATTTAGAAGTCATAAACACAGAAAATAATGATATCTGAAAAATAACGATTAGGTTCTATTTCAAAGAAACAATAAATTTGAATACGCGCAAGGTTCAGGCTAAATTTTAAGAACTCTGAAATTTTCAAAAAAAAAAAGATTAGGACGCGACTTGCGTGAGATATCTCTATAGATCTCTAAAGAGAAACAATTGTACTTTAACATATTATAATCCTAGTAATAATTATATCTAATTTATTACTACGTATCAAACTTATCTTGCGAAATGAATGAAAAAATGTAGTAATCTCGCGAAAATATATCGCTAGTCACTTCTAAATATGATATCAAAATTTAATTCTAAAGTGGTTTCTGTCTTACCATAGTGTGAAGTTACTTGAATATTGATATATCGATTTTAATTTTTAATTTCAGATATCATAACTGATTTTTTTTTGGGGAGCGGTGAAAAACGGAGATTCTGTATATAAAATTGGCGATTATGCAAAATGATCAAGATTTACTTCGTATTATATAATCACCCGATTGTATCCGATTGTGCAACTATTTTAGCGTAAATTATAAATATTAATTCTATTAAATATTTGAATAAGAAATCATTTCAAAATCGTGAAAATTAAAAGAATTTACATGTTGGTTAAGATATACAAAATTTGATCAATTTTTGCAAACCGCGATAATTGACAATATTGTGGCTTGACATCAATTATTATGTAACTAATTTTAGTCAAAATAATTGCGATTAATTGGCCCTACAATCAATTATTCAGTACGCTTGGACAAAATTGACCCGAATCTAAGCAATCTCCACTCTAGTCTCAAAAAAATTTATGTTCTGAATCGGTCGGTAGTATTACAATATATAGAAAATTCTATATCGAAACTTTGATTGGTGAGATTTGTATTACTGTACGCGAACATTGATACATAAATCGTATTACTTGAGATTTGTTTAAAAAAGTACATGATTTAGCATAGTAACAAATAATCGATATTGTTTGATTAGTCCATGGTAACGCGTGTTATAAATTTAATGTGAACAAATAACAGCCTTTTATGATAAATGTTTGATAGGCTTATAATTTACTAATTTTAGAATTAATTAAATTATAAACTAACGCTAATAAATTACCATTAATTTATGATAAATAACATAAAATCTTCGTCGTGAAGTATTCATTTGTATTTGTCTTAATAAGTTAAATGGTTAAGAAATTTCTGAACTTTTATTTAATTTAAAGATTTCAATTATACAATTTTTTATTCCAATATTTTCGAATACTAACCAATACTGTACAATACATGCAAAATAATTTTAATTTTTTTTTCTAATTAATGCGTTGCATCACGTTGTATTATATACCTTAAATTGAACTCGAACTGTTGTAGAACTCTAAATATTTGAAAAAAAAAGGGTATCTGTAAAAATAGTTAAAGTTTTAAATTTGCGTAATATTAGGCCATACAAAGTTAATCTCAACATGTGAATTTAAAAATGACCCGCCCGTCCGGCTTTTAATTTTTTTTATTATATGTTTATTATCCAGAAATATTAAAAAACCCACCCGAAAGTATTCATATCAATAACTTATAAAATTATTTCTTGAAAATTTACAAAAAGCTGACCCAACCGGGTTATGAGAAACAACTAATTAACTTTAATGTGCGTGCGTACGTATACGAGGCACATGATAACTGATAATAGATAACGTGCTAAATATGTATACCAAATGAAGCAACTAATAAGTTATACAACAGAAACGCACTAAATTTATTTAGTGATAAATTTTTTAATTACCTTGAAACAACAAAGTTTTACGTATTAATTTTAATTTTGAAAATTATCCCCAAAATTTATCTCGTACTCGTACTAAATATTGAAATACAAAAAAAAAATTTAGAAATTCGCAAACGTAATCATGAGATTTCGATAAAGTAAGTATTACAGATTAGTCTTCCAAAATCTATTGTAAAATGCCGGAGATTTCCGTTTCGTCATTACCGGAACTTAGAAAACTCAGCCGGATGTAGCAGTTTTTTAATAATGATATTATAATATTTATATATATTTGGAAATTTTCCGACTGATGACACTGCCGGAGAAAAAGCAGCTTCCGGCATCCGGAAATTTTGTGCCCTGTCTCCTATAGTTATTAAAGTTTAATTTCCTATTACCGCTACCAGTTAGAGTTAGATACATTTACCTGTAATACACAGATCTACGTTACACGATACTGTAAAGGCTAGAAATTTGAAATCTCACGTTTTTGCTAGAATATTATTTCCTCTCTCTCTCTCTCTTTTTTTTTTTTTTTTTTTGCGAAACTCATCATGTCGATAGCATCGTATTTCCTTCAATCCATATTTCATCCTACTGAAATTACAGCTCTTGTCCAATTTAAATATTTTAAACCTAAACATATACTGGAATTTAACCCGGAAAATAAACAAAAGATACGGTGTTATGAATTTCTGGATAAAACTTCACGTTCTTTTGCTGCTGTAATTAAAGAATTGGACGATGATGTGAGAGATGCTGTATGTATTCCTTTATTTCTTATCTTATATCCTCTTAAATTTGATCATTAATTCCTTATTTTTTTTTTTTTTTTTCTTTTTTTTTTTAAAAAAAATTCAATTTAGGTTTGCATTTTTTATCTCGTTCTTCGTGGCCTTGATACCATCGAAGATGATATGTCAATCCCTATTGAGAAGAAAGAAACTTTATTAAGATCTTTTCATAAAATTATCTCTCAAAAAGGATGGACTTTTACAGAAAGTTGGTATCTCTGTTATTTTCATTTTAGAATTTATAAATGATCCCTTGATAGATTATGGATTTTTCTTTTTTGCTTTTCAGATGGTCCTGATGAGAAAGATCGACAATTACTTGTAGAGTTTGATGTTATAATTGATGAATTTTTGTCATTGAAAAAAGAGTATGGGATTTTTTTTTTTCACTCTTCTCTTGTGTTACTTAAAATCATATGATATATATTTATCCTTTGTGTAACTAGGTTTCGTGACGTTATCGCTGACATAACGAATAAAATGGGAAATGGTATGGCTGATTATGCAAAAGAAGCCATTCATAATGATTCTTATGGGATTATTACCAATAAAGATTTTGATAAATATTGTTATTATGTTGCTGGTTTGGTTGGTATTGGTCTTAACCGTTTATTCGCTGAAAGTGGTCTGGAAAGTCCGGAACTCGCGAATGATACAGATTTGTTAGTTTCGTTTTATTTACTTTTATTAAATGCATTTTTTATATTTATTTATTTATTTATTTATTTATTTGTTTATTAATAAATCAATATTATTAGGTCAGTTCATATGGGCTTGTTTTTACAAAAAACGAATATAATCCGTGATTATTTAGAAGATCTTCTTGATGGACGTAAATTTTGGCCAAAAGAAATTTGGTCAAATTATGTTGAAGATTTATCTGATCTGAAAGAATCTGGTTATGAAACTAAGGCTCTTGATTGTCTTACATCCATTATTCTTAATACTCTTCATCATGCTCCTGAATGTTTAAATTATATGAGTAAACTTAAAAATAAATCCGTTTTTAGTTTTTGTGCCATCCCACAAGTAATGGCAATTGCAACTTTAGCTTTAATGTTTAGAAATTATGATACATATCAAAAAGTTGTTAAAATTAGAAGAGGCGAATCTATTAAAGTAATTTTTGAAATAATATATATATATATACATATTGTTTATAAAATATTGAACATTATTAACATTATCTTTTGTTTAATATCTTTTTAAATATAGTTAATGTTAAGATGCACGAGCATTTATGAAGTTGCAAATATCTTCCGTGAATATACTAGAGTAATCATCCGTAAAAATGATCCTAGGGATCCTAATTTTATGAAAATTAGTGTTGCTTGTGGAAAGGTGATAAATTAATCCTTTTAATAATCTCTCGATTTCTATATTTCTAATTGTTATTTTCTTTCATTATTTAAAAGATTGAACAATGGTGTGCAGTCAATCTTCAAGCTACAGACGTTTATAATTTACCATATCCCTCAATCGTTAAAAGAGATTCACTTAATCAAGAAAGTGACTTATTATTATTTGTTGGGTTTGGTTTATTAGCATTCACGGCATATTTATTATATTATTATAACTGGGAACATTTTCATCATAATGGATTAGAAGTATTTGATATTTTTGATGCTTAGATATTTAATATTATTTGAAAATAGTATATTGTGTGTATATTAATGTAGGTTTTTATTAATTTTAAAAAATATCTTTATTTGTTGATTTCTTTCAGATATGTAATATAGCTTGAATATTCAAGATAATTGTCACGGTTTTGTTATAATTTAAGTCATTATTATTATAAAGTTATTTTCTAATATTTATCAATCTATATTGTCACACTCTCATGTTCATTATTTTTTTTAAAAAAAAACAAATTGAAAAAAAAATTATGTGATTATATTAATATATATATATATTTTTCATCTATCTTTATCATGATTGTTTTGTTTTGTTGAATATTTCCATGTTCCGCTTTTTCCCCCCGTTTTTTCTAAAAGTTTTATATCTTCAATAACCATGTCTTTACTTACTGATTTACACATATCAAATACTGTTAATGCTGCAATACTAACAGCTGTTAGTGCTTCCATTTCTGCACCAGTTTTACCCTCACACTCTACTTTTGATATAATCTCAATTGAATAATCTGGCTTTAACTCTAAATCAACTGATACATGAGAAAGCAATAAATTATGACATAAAGGGATTAAATATCCTGTTTGTTTGGCAGCATTAATTCCAGCAATCTGAGAAACAGTAAGTACGTCGCCTTTTTTAATAATATTTTCCTGTACTAGATCAAATGCTTCTCGACCAATCCGTATTTTTCCACTCGCTGTTGCGGCACGGGTGGTTGGGGCTTTAAAAGATACATTTACCATCGAAGCACGTCCACTTGAAGAATCGACATGAGAGAGAGTAGGGGAGGTATTTTGTGATATATGTGAACTTTCGGGTTTTTTGTTTTTTGTAGAATAAGCACGAGATTGGACAGAATATGAAGGGAAAATGTGATTGAAAGGAATGGAATTTTTGTTGATTTCGTAAAAATCATGTTGATTATATCTTGTAGGTTGAATGAATGATACGGAAAGCTTCTTTTTATACTGAGAAGATATCTTTGGGGAAGGTAACGGTTCGATAATATCGATCAAAAGTTCTATTATAGTAAAAATTTGATAAGAAACTACTTACTCAATTATTAATATTCTGTATTCCCATAACGTCTATAAGCCTCTGATATTATGGTACTATTCAAAATATGCTACTCTTTCATTTTATTTATAAATTCCATATCTGGTCGGCTTAATAGACCATAATAAGTATATTATACATAGAATACAATATTCACTAACCTGCTCCCAATCAATAATATTATTGTCACCCCCCAATGAGTATCATCGGTCTATTTTTTGTCCCAGCCAGAGTGAACATACCTGCATGCTGCTTCTTTTTGTTTTTTACAGCCGCTCCGATAATTTCTAATAATTGTTGATCCGGTACATTCTCTCGTAATAAGTCACGCAAGCTTACTTCAGCATTTCCAAATAGGCATACCTACAAAATATAATATCTTTAGTTTGACTGATTTTTATTAATATTTATTAATCTTAAATATAATAATAGAAAAAAAAACGGACCTTTAAATTGCCATCCGCAGTAATTCTTAATCTGTTACAAGTCCCACAGAAATGATCCGTCATAGATGTAATAAAACCGAATACACCAACATGTCCCAGTACTTGATAAGCCTAATATTATAAAAATTATTAATAAATAGTTAAAGATGAGTTTACTTTACTAATCGAGTTATATAATAATTTTATGCCATTAACCTTTGAAGTATCATGCGCATCATCAGGTAGCTTCACAACTTCGTACTTATCTTGAATATTATTCAAAATTTCTCTATATGGAACAAGCTTTTGCTTATTCCATTTATTACCTTATT